GTTTAGTACTTTAGTAACAGTAGAGATCCTTGTGAAAAAGTTCGTCCAGGGTAGTACGCTCACCTTATTTATTTCTGCTGCCAAACAGTAATGTGAGCATTACTGCGTTCCGGTTTTGAAAGGTAAGGGCGCTAGTGAAATTACAGGCACATGGGACAAGTCAACTTACGTCTAATGGCAGTACCCCTCAGATCTTTGTGATTTAAAGCTCAGTGGCACTGCAACTGTTATTGACAGGCGTGTCATTTACCACATGTTCGTTCCGATACTTAGTATCATAAAAAATAATTGTAATCAAGAAAAACACACACCGCACCGCTCGGATTCTCAACGAAATGTACAGTGGTTAAGTTTGCCCTGACAGCATTTTTTTTAAATGTAAGGTAGGTGGCAAAAAAAAAAAAAAAAAAAAAGGTGGCATACGAGCTGATGATCCACTTGACGGGAGGTGGACATCGTCGCCAATGGACATCTGCAACATCGGAGCTGCCTATGCGTTGCCAGCTTTTGAGAGCCGTGTTGACTCGCGTTTTGGAGAATCCCACGTCATGGCGCAAAGGAAACACTTCAGGAAAAAGACCATTCTACATCTTGCATGTTCGAAGAAAGTTTGAGAAGATGGGTATGGTCTGGTATGGCATAACGGGCTAGTGTCTGCTACTCAATGTCCATTCACCTATTTTTCATATGGTGGGTTCAGGGTCTTACTTGTGCCACCAAAGCTCGTCCAAGAATCTCAGCACCCTCCTGGGTTTACTCAAGACGGACTCTGCACTTCAAGGTATGTAGTTGGCCACGCCGGAGCATTGCAGTAGGATAGGCGCGGATGTGGGAATGGTTTCTACTCCTTGTGTGATGGTGGAAACGTGTCGGTAGCGCCAGTTTCCTATTGTTCCTCCGAGCAGTCTCCGACAAAGGGTGGCGTGCATGTAAAATGGAGTTTTTACATCAGTAACTTTTAAGCGGCTGCAAGAACTATAGGAGTTATTCGTTCTAAATTCCATTGTTTTACTAAGTCCACAAATTGCTAACACTGTAATTAGCTTAATATATTATTGTATAAAAGGCTTGTCGCTTCGCACTGTACGTGTCCTCAGTAAAAGCTTTACAGCTCTTTAGTTTCCATAAACAAAATGGTTACCTACTTCCACGGTAGCTTAATTTTTGGTTCGCATCTGATAACACTATTTCACGCAATACTTAAAACTCGTATAGTAGGCAGCCTTGAGTAAATCGTATACTCTTAAAATCGGCAAAGTTTAGGTGATATTTGAGAGTTTTTAGAAAATATAATAAACTTTTTAAATTATTTTTTTGTAACTTACAATCGCCTAGTTTAAATAACCTGCAATACAAAATTTAAAACAAACTTAAAACTCTCCGTAAACGCATTAACTTCCCACTTATTAAAGATTTTATTCTTAAATATTCTCAAAAATTTTTGTTTACGTAAAAACCCTAGACATCATTATACACTAATATCAGATATTGGTAAAAGTAGAACTCGTACGTTGATTTATGGAAGCACTTATAACAGGTACAAGTTACCACATCACTATTTTCTAGGCAAGTGATATTGTCCATCAACACGCGCGTCATTTTTGTACGGATACCCTCATTATTTTATTTTATGAATATCTTATTATATTATTATTCTTTTTATTTTATAACATTGATCTAATATGTCAGTAATAATTAATATTAATATCCTATTATGTTCCCAATTCACGTTTTTATATTATGTGGTTAGCAAAACTACGTTTTGTATTGGTCTCAATAATATTTTTTTGTAGTAACGATGATGGTCTGAATAGTTGAATATTTCCTAAACTATATGTGCGGAAAGGTGTGTAGCCTTAGCGATATAACGTTTATGTTAATTTTTGTATTACTTTAATTACGTTTATTTTCAAAATAAAGAAATTTTAAATAAAAAAAAATAAAATCACGTTGTTTGAGGTGTCCTTCGATAGGTTTTAACAGACGCAACAAAAACTTTTTTTTTAATTTCGTACGTGATAGGCATTTGACTCCACACCACCATGTTAAACGAGAAGTAATATCAAAACGCACGCGAACTTACTGCAGTATCGGTACAATAACCTCCAACCTGCTTGCCAGTAAATTTTTAAAGCTAATATTAAAAAATTAAGTCGAAATAGAATTTGGGGCTATTCAAGGCTAGGGTGAATAGACATTTTTTAGACAAACGCTTACTATCGTCGCTGACATCGTCGTTTTACATCAGTTGAGATTGTGGCCAAACATGCCTCCATTTTTCATAAAAACAAATTTGCTTAAGCAGAATGACTTGGCAGTTACAGAAGCCTGTCAAGGGCGTTTTTAACACTTAAAAAGGCTTAGCTAGTTTTTTATTTTTAAATTATTACGTGGAACTCACCATAATCTTGCAATATTTAAATAAATCATGAGTAGAAAAAAAAGATTGCTGTATGAGAGCCTAATCACACTGGCGATTGGCGAGCGACTTGAAAGTGATGTAAGAGTACTGCGAGTTCGCGGCAACAGCGTCGCGGGCGCGCTACATTTCGCTACTGTGCGCGACATGCTCGCAGCGGCAGCGTGTGCTCCGCATTTTGAACACTCAGTACAAAATGGATTTGTGTCATTATATTTTTTTTTCGAGAGAAAAAGTTAGGTGCACCAAAGTCTATCGTCAAAAATATAATTTCAATTTTCGAATTTCAAAAACGCTTTTGGGCGCAGATTTGTAATGAGAAAGAAAGACTTTACGAGCTAGTGAGATTAAAAAATAATTACGCTGCATTAACTATAGCAGTTGCACGAGAGTATACAACATGACGTCCACGGCAGCGGCGCCCACAGACCAAATACTTTGCACAGCGACCTATACACTGCTGATGGTTACGTGTTCGCTGCGCGCTCGCGATGTTGTCGCTGAGTACTCGTGACGATCCGCCGCGCTGTCGATGTCGCCTTGCTTTCGAATCGCTCGCAAATCGTTAGTGTGACAAAGCCCTTAGTTGACCTTCAATTTGTTTTATTTCGTTGGCCATTGTTTTTTATCGACATCAGTCATTGGGGTTATCAATAATTTTTTAAATTTTAAGCAAAAAGTAAATCAGTTTTGTGCCATTCGTGAAACCGAGCGTATGATTTTTCGTTATTATATTTTAAACTTTAGTGCTAAAGTGGAAATTGTTATCGTACTGGGATTTTGTTAAACACGTATATATATATTATAGGAAATGAAACTATTTTTCCGGATTTAAGTCGCGTATATTTGTTTTTTCAAATAAACCGACGTTTCAGGCCCTTTACAGGTCCCATGGTCACGGTTGACCAACCATTGATTGAGTTGGTTGAGTCAATCATTGGTTGAGTTTGTTTGAAAAAGCAAATATATACGCGATTTAAATCCGGAAAAATAGTTTCATTTCCTATGAGTAACAATCGCGAAAACCTAAGAACTCGATACAGTACAGTAAATTAAATATAAAAATAATAAGTTAATGTGCAACATGCGAGCTTATTAGAAGGACAGGATAGAGATTTTGAATACGCAAAAGGGTGAATTAAAAAAAATCTTCATAAATTAAGTACTTAATATTTAATATGTTCAGTAGTGGACGTCTTCCGGCTGCTATGATGATGATGATTTAATAATATTATTTATTGTTATGTAATATGGAGAGGGGTCTATTTCGTACTTGATGACGTCACCAAATTGAGTAAAAACTTCCAGTCCAGTTTCAGGTTTTATTTCGAAAAAGAGTATTCCATATACTATGCAAGGTGCCAAGTACATTCTAACTGTCAGATGTCCAGACAGTAATTCCCACAAGGACACAACTCCGAGAAACGTATCGACGGTTCTGATGTTTCTCACGCATAAATAAAATTCGGTTCAAGAAGGTATTAAATTTAAATTAAGCAAAAAGGGTCAAAGCTATCAAGCGGATATTTAGAGAACTATCTGACAAACGAAGTTGATTAGTGAAGTCTTTGGTATAAAATAAGTTTGTTACAACAATAAATAACAATATTAAATACTACTTTTGAAGTAAAAAAGTGAAAATAAAATAATTTAACTTTTGTAAATAATAAGTGCTTTATTTATAGACAACAAATAATTGTATGTGTGTCCTTTATGGCATTCTTATTCGTATTCACGTTTTATTTTGAATTTAGTAATTAAAGTTCATAAGTACAAATAGTAAATTTTTGACATGAGCCGAGTTAAACAACTAAGCGAAGAAATTCAGGTACGAGTATTTATCCACCCTATAACCGTTAACGAAAACTGTGCTACTAAATATTAACAGATTAAATCAAAGTCTGTATCTAATGATACATGCTGCCACAGGGATTCCAATCATTGCCCTCTCAATTGAGAAGTTAACGTTCTCCAACTGAATTACCACCGCTCTTAGTTTTGTTAATTTAATTTATATGTGTAAAGGGGTAAACTAGCTACGGTAGCCTAATGGTTTGACCTCCCGATTGTCAAGCAGAGGGTGGGTGGGCTGTGGGTTTGAATCTGAGCTCTGAGATATTCGAAATTTATATACGAAATTTAATTTTATACTTGCCATGAACTTTTCGGTGAAGGAAAACGTCGTAAGGAAGCCTCCACACATCTACAAAGCAAATTAATTATGTGGTGTAGTTCCCAATCCGCATTAGGCCCTCGTGAGAAATGCCGCCCAAACACGATCATTGTGAGGGAGGCCTGTTCTTAGCAGTGGAACAATAGGCTAACTATTATTATATGCAAAAGGGAAGATGTCAGTCGTTTTGCAATATCTTTGAATAATAATCAGAGTACGAAAAAAACCGACGTCAAAAGTCATTCATCCCCTAGTTTACCACCCTTAGAGTTGGAATATTTCTTCAAATTTAAATGGGACTACTTTTGAGGTATCTTTCCAACAAAAAAATAATCATCAAAATCGGTACACAAGTGCCGGAATAATCGCGTTAAAAACAAAAATAAAACTGTTGAAATGCGAACCTCCCCGTTTTTGAAGTCGGTTAACAAAATAGTGAATACGGTTGACTAGACGACAAAAAACAATGTTTAAATGTGCGTGAGAGAGTTCGACGATGAGAGGGTTGAAGGTCACGTTAGTGACTGTATTCGTATACTTTACGGCAGCTGTCGGTGAGGATATTTTCTTGGTAAGTTTTTACTTTCAATCTTTTAGATAAAGAGCTCTTTAAAGTATATTTTTTATGATATCAAGTAACGGAACGAACAAGTCGTGCGCCTGGCGTTAAGCGACACGCTGTCCATGGCAGTTACACCTCTAAATCGCAATCTGAAGAACACTGCCACAGCACCTGTCACCTTGAGACATAAGTTCACAAAACCGGACCTTTTCAAAACGGTACGGAACACAGTACACGCTCACAATACTGCTAGGTGGTAGAAATAGGTGGCAGTACTTCCCTGGATGAACTCTTTCTGCCGCCAAGCAACAATGGGAGCATCACTGCGTTCCGCTTTTGATGTGTAAGGTTGCTGGTGAAATTACAGACACATGAGACTTGTCAACTTATGCCTCGGGGTGACGGATGCAGTGGGAGTGCTCCTCCATCATTGCGATTTAAAGCTCTCAGTGGCACTACAACTGTTATGGACAGGTGTGTCGCTTTCCAACAGGTCCACGACTTGTTGCTCCCATCACTTAATAACTTAAAAAATAAGAAAATAAAATATGTAAGAAAATGTAATTATGTTAAGAATTATTGCATTTAGCCTTTTATAGACAATAGAAATAGGTAGACATAATATTAATACCTAGAATAGAAATAAACCGGTTGTGTAGTCTTCACAAAGTCACAAATTCATTTAAGTGGCAATGTATACGCTTCTGTAATAAGGTTCCTGTTAAAATTCAGAATTTGCCATGAGGTTTGAACTGTATACAAAAAAAAACTTGCCACTAAAGTTTATTTATCATGGCTTCTACGTGCTTGAATGACAAAAGTCCACGGTAGTGACCCGTTTGGCCCATGAAGTTGACTCGACTTATAAATACTCGACTGATAAATTATAAATAAATAAGTATTTAGACGATAAATCGCTGCTTTTCAAAAATAATCACCCAATCCAAAATTGATCCTTTTTTTATTTATAACTGGGGTTTTTTCAGAAAATGTAAAATTTTATTGCTTTTTATCGGTTAGAATAATCATATGACAAAATTCGCATGACCTACGATTCGTCAACTTTTGGCGGCAGACGCTTCTCATCTTTTTCAAGCATCTTCCTGATGAATTGGATGATTTTGAAATAAACCGCTATTTTTCTCATTGCCCTGTGAATCAGTTGTACAGATCTCCAAGGAAGATCCGTCCAGTCTTAATAGATGACCAGCGGCCTGACTGGCCACAAAGACAGACTCGCCAGAATGACAGGAATTCAAAATTAGACAGACTTTCTTTTGAGCAAAGGACGATGAGGGCAGTCCTAACTAAGCCCCTGGCACAAGCAGACGACTCCTTCTGATTATAGTTGGAAGCTGCTAGATAATAACGTGTCAACCAACATGATTATAGTTTTGCAAAAATAGCACCTAAAAATGTTTTTCGTAATTTTTGATAGTTTGTTCTAAAATTTACATGTAAAATGAAAATTTTTGCTGCTATGTTTGTCGTTCATGAGGAATTATAGTAATAAATCAAAAGAATTCCTCATTCCTGAGGTGACAACACAACAAAAGTTTTCATTTTACAATTAAATTTTGGAACAAACAGTCTAAAACAACGAAAAAATCTTTAGGGGCAGGGGCACTTTTACAAAACTATGACCATTTTGGTTAACACTATTTCGATCTATGATATTTTTTATAAATATTATAAACGATAAATGTGTACAAATGTTTATTTGCAGTTTCATGGTCATTCTTCTCAGGGGAACCTGCCTTACTAATAAGTGGTAGATTTCAATCACTGTGACGATGTCAAGTGTAATTTGTTTACCTGTGAAATAAATAAAATATATGAGTTTGTGCACCGTTTTGCATTACGTTTATAGGTTCTTCGAGATGTTTACGTCATCTTGCAGAAAAGAATATAAAACCAAGTTATGATTGCACTAGCTGTTCGAACCATGTCGATTTGGAACTTAACAACTGAGTAAAGGAACTTGATTCTTAACTTTGTTGTTTCATAACTAGCGCCCAAACTATAGTAATGCCACTTTGGACTACTAAAGTCACAATCGCCTGACTACGAGACGTTAAATCGTGGCGGAATATTTACATAAACCTTTCAGATTTATGAGCTGATTAATTCTAGGGATGTACTATTATCGATACTTGACAAGTGTCAAATTATAATTTAATTAAAATTTACAGCATACAGTTTAAGGCGTTTTAGTAACAGAAGAGCTGACACCGTTCGTATTTCTGCTCTCAAAATAACAGGTACATGGGACTATTCAACTCTATATCTCAGGCAGAGAACAAAAAAGTAACGAGAATGGACACTCTCCGCCCCTCCCTAGCCTTAGATACCGCATCTCGCCCCGCACATTGACGGTCGCGGTCATATGAACGGCATATCGGTGAGCCGTTTTCGCTCTAAGACGGCTTTGATAGTTGAATATAGTTTTCATTTATTCATACGAAACTTGTAAGTTAATATATAATATCCTTGTACGCTACTATTTATAATGTTCGTGAATTGTGTTGTATACGGCTGTTTATCATCATCTAAACGGGAAAAAAAAGAGGAGTTTCTCTCGTTTTCCGGAAGGTGATACGAAGTAAGTAAAAAAAACTTATGTTTGAGACTCATTCAGATATTGTTTTCTTTATTCGACCGTCAGTCGTATGGAGTGTCCGGGGTGTGTCTCAGGATGATGGGTGCTGCAGTAATGCTACTCAGTTCTTTGCGATTTAAAACTCTAAGTGGCATTATTGACAGCTATGGGTAGGCGTGGCGCTTACTGTCCCGTCACTTTACATCATAAAAAACAGTCATTACGCTGTACTAAAATCTAGTACTAGTACAAAATCTAATATTTAAAAAAAAACAGTTTCATAATAATTTTATACATATAAACATTATATTATACATATTATCTCTAGGATCAGGGGTTTTTAGTCGAGTTCGTTCATCGCGTGTGGGTAATCAGGGCGAAATACTTTTTGTGAAATAGGTTCGAGGTTCTTTGATCAGCGGTGTTTGGTTCAATTACGGGAGTTACTAATGATTCAATTGGATTTCGATAAGACAAGTGATTCGTCGTTACTTCGCTGCTGACAGCCGTCTGTCCAAAAAAGTGTCAATTGAAAATGGCCACTGTTGCAAAGTTACGTTTCTCCCGAGTGACAGCTGACTGTCGCCGTCGCTCTTGTCTGTGATTGCGTTCAAAAACACTTTTGTTAGAGCGGCGCTAGCTAAGTGCCGTCATCTTTAATAATTATATATTGCTACTTTTTGTTTCTTTTTAATTTATTTTTGTATTTATGTATGTATGCATGTTTTATATTTATGTATTCATTGTCAGCTATTATATAATTTCCATGAAAATATTAATCAATAGCAAGTATAAATAGGTACATATCAAACACACTTGTCGATAGTTCTATGAAGTGGCCATCACTAAGAGTATTATATTTAAAAGGGTCCACATTTTGAGAAATGCTATGCTCACCACTTCAAGATATAACTTGATGAGCTTTTTACGACGCTATTTGCGACAAAATTTGAGGATTAATGTTTAGCATTAATTCCAAAGTTTTAATGCCGTAAGATATGTTTTTGATAACCTTGTAGGTCGGCCAATCATGTTGTACAACAGATCTAGGAAGAGTCTATAATCGACACATTTGTGGGTTTGGATTACAAAGAAAAAATGTTTTGACTAACGATCGATTTATATTTAGTTTCCTGGTTACTGTAGAGGTTACGGCAAAGTGAATTATCACTTTGCCGCCTTATACGGCCATTAGGCCGTATAAGGCGAACATAGGAAGACTGAATTAAGGACATCCTGTGGTCAAGAGTACCTTCAACAGACGATGCGTGTTGTAGAGGCGAAGGATATGAATCGGATGTAGTTTTTTTTATTCTAATGTAAGTGTGCATTTGACCTCCACCTTCAGATTCAGATTTCAGAAATCAGGTATAGTTTAGTTTTATCAGTAACCGATGCTATCGGACTGTCTGCAGACAGAATGATCAGATATAAGTTGCATTTAAATCAGTATGCCCAGTCATCAGTTGTCACGTTGGGGGTGGCAGTAAGCAGCAGTCGGAGGCCACTCGGGGAGTGTTTACCCCAAGTCTGCTGAGTACAATATACCTATTTTTATGATACCAAATGACAGGACAAACAAGTCTTGCACCTGGTAGGTATCAAAATGCCAAAACTTGTAGCTTCAGTGCCTCGTGAATAAAGCTGTCTTTTTGGGAGTGACTTTAGTTAATATACTTCAGTGGTTTCCACATATACCTTCCTTGGCCAGCAAATTAAGCTCTGCTGCATACGCAGTCCGTCGTAGTTTACTTTATTTTCTTCCATAGTATAATGTCCTACGGGATTCTCATGTGGGGTAGAGCGGCAGATATATAAACCATATTTGTGTTACAAAAACGAGCGATTCGTCCTGTGTACCGTTTAGGTTCTCGGGTTTCTCTCAGAGAAAAGTTTAAGGAGACTTGTATCATGACTGTAGTATCGCAGTACATTTAATCAAATATTTTGTATGCCCGTAAAAATACACAAGATATCCATAATACTATGGAACTAAGTCCAAATTCATGGTACCACGATTTCGCTTAACTATAATATACATATACGTTTTTACAATAAGATTCCGGAGCACATATTAAGACTACCATTTTATAAGTATAGACTTACTTTAAAATTATTTTAATTGAAAAGTCATATTACAAAATTGTAGACTATGTTTTAGATAAACATGTATGGAAAGACAATATGAGTCTAGATTCCACACAAATATGATCCAAAAATGGTACATTTAAGTTTATTTGAAAAGAGTAATCCCTAGAGTTTCTTGCTCGTTCTTCTCAAGTCAGCACAGTGAACGAGCAGTAGCAAATAAAATGACGTTTTCAAGTCATAGGTAACTATGGATTAAGTGATTATTTTACTTTCACTTTGACTAGGAGCTTTAAATCGCAAAGATCTGAGGGGCGTTGCC